TCTCAGGAGCGATACCTATATGTGTAACGGAAAACGGCTAATCGTCTTTTTACCTCGGAACGCGTTTAACCATGTTCTTGGTCGTTTGGACGAGTATCTTTTCACTCTGCGCTTTCACAACCGATGATTGAATTGGTAGTTCGACTGAGCTAGTAAGTTCTTATTAATGACTTTTACTCGCTACAACCACCACCTTCGACTTTTTATTTGTTCGAATAGATCAGTCGACTACAGTTTTATTTCACCTGCTATTCCGCTATAATTCTCTTCAACTCTGTTGCGAATGAAACCCTTCGACGGAGTCGTCGAACGTTAAACGATTCTTCCTCGTGATTTCATTTTTTCTCGACGGGAAACGAACGGACGAGGTCCCCTTTCCTGTAATCGATACATCGGTATCGACGAGTCGAATGTCGCGGGGGATGCACTCTCGGTGGTTAGACGCCTAGACAGTTGGCGGAAGTCGCATTGTACGCTCCAAAGGCTTCCCAGTCGAGAGATCTCGCGAATCGAGGTTTTCTCGTCTCTAAACGGAACCCCTTTTCCTCGGTCGTGCTTCCTTCATTTATTCGTGTTCCGGCATATTTCACGCCTTTCCGCTCGGATTTTCCTCGCGTTCGCTGCACAGCAGCTCGAAAGAACAAAAAATCGCCAATCTCTGGAATCCGACGTCGGGTCGCGGAGAAGGGAATCAGTTACCCGTCCGTTGATCGAGCATCGAGACGCGACGGGACGAAATTATTAACGCTCCGAGGAACGCGTCGGTCACCGACAGCTGCGGGAGATTATAATATTTACGAAGTAATTAGCGAATCGGAGAGGTGGAAGGGTGGATCGAGCGCGATCTTCGGGTCGCTTTACGTGTTCCTATTTTCGTGACGCGATCGTCGAAGCTCGCTCAGCTCGACGTGACGGACGGTTACCGAGAAATGACGGAGCAGATATAGTAGACAGCTACGTTTGTTTCCCAACAGCCTATTGGCGTCGTTTGACACTGTTGGCCCCAATTGGCACTCGTTGACCCCACTGTACGCGTTGTCATGACTCCGAGTCATCGGCTTACCAGCCCGTTAAACTTGCTCCCTGGCCTCATCGCCCTCCGTAATCATCCGACAGGCGTTTCTCTCTCTCTCTCTCTCTCTCTCTCTCTCTCTCTCTCTCTCTCTCT